TTTGTCCACAAATTAAAAATATGTTACGTGTCTTCAACCGTCTGACCCTCCACGTGTCCGCACATCGTTTATATTTCACGGGTCATCCGCGTGTTGCTGCTCCCCTCAGCCCTCCCATCGGCGTGCGTGAGTGCGGCCTACAGAGCACAGTCACTCGTGTGTATGTGTGGGGGCTGAGAGAAGCACGCAGACATGACGGCAGTCGTGTCTTTACATTGGAAGTATGAGCGCAGCAAAAAAAAAAAAAGAAAAACACGGCGGCAGGGTGTGGCTGTGTGTGTGTAGCGCTGCGGGTGTCTGCCCGCCCTGACCGCCAAAAACAAAACAAGAGGGAAAGAAATGTGTGCTCCGCCCCACCGGCCCTCGTCGCACGCCCACACGTCACGGCTCCCTCAGCGCGCCGTTCGTCGCGGCCCCTCCTCATGCGTGCAGCAGGCGAGGCGCACAGGGCCGTCGTCATGAGCGTGTCGGTGGGTGTGCGAGTGGAGCAGTTGGGCGGGAACACACGTCACCCCTCGCAGGAAGAGTGAAGCAACAAACAATTGAAAGAGGGAAGAGTAGAAAAGAAAAAAAGTTCATAGTGGTTGCCCCAAGGCAACAAGCAATAATAAAAAAAAAAGGTATTGTTTATTGCGGAGAGTAATTCATAACCGGATGTGCGTCGGTGTGGGGGAGGGCGCAAGTGTCCCACACTGAGGCCGCACACTCCTCACAGAGCCGCAAACCCCCAGAGTCCCAACAGAAGGAACAGCGATGGCAGCAGCACCCTGCTCTCACGCATGGTGCCAGCAACGCTGCCATCCCACTGCGACGAAGTTCCAAGACTGCTTTTGAGTGCGAAGCCGAGTGCCGCAGCATTTGCTTCCCCGTCCTGTGGCTGGATATCTTCCTCTTGCCCATCAGCTCCTCCCGTCGTCTCCCCATTCTCATCAGAGCTCACGTCACCCTCAGTACTGTCGGTAATTGAAAATGTTCCAGATGCCGACTGGTTTACGGTCTCCTCCTCTGCTGTGTGTGTCGTGGCATTGGACACCGCTGGTGTGAATGCGCCGTCACCGCTTCCTTTTTTATCTTCACTGTCACCGCTTTCTTTTTTATCTTCACTGTCACCGCTTTCTTTTTTATCTTCACTGTCACCGCTTCCTTTTTTGTCTTCACTGTCACCGCTTTCTTTTTTGTCTTCACTGTCACCGCTTTCTTTTTTATCTTCACTGTCACCGCTTCCCTTTTCTTTTTTATCTTCAACTTCCTTGATCATTTTTAGTTCACCGACACTCAGTGGGCGGTTGTACAGAAAGACGTCCGTCAACGTCGCATCGCTGCCGCTGTCTCCCTCGTCGCCCCCAAAGTAGAAATGTGAGAATTCAGTCCACCGCTCCTCAGGTGTTGGTAACATCGCCGGGTTCCCCACAAGCACACCATCCACGTACACGAAGCCCTTGTTGCCGTCCTGCAGCATGAGCGCCACCTGGTATTCTCTCCCCGGCTCCCAAGTGCCACCCTGTACTGTTTTTGTCCCGTCATACACTGTCTCCCACTTACCGCCCGCACCGTACGACAAACCAATTAACTTCGTCCTCTTATTGCCCCTCAGACTCGCACCCAGCAGAGGAGTGCTCTCACTCGGAACCTGGTGTATAGTCGCCATCGCCACAATAGTGAAGTTGTAATCCACAAAGCCGTACTGTTTAATATCCCACCGACTGTTTACGGGCCATGTTGCCCTGGACCCAGGCCCCGTGAACTTGAAACCATTTTCAACCTTCGCTGCCTTCGTCACCGTTGCATTCATGCAACGGTACCCGTCGATCCACGTGTCTCCACTGGACGTCGTATTGGACAGGAATCCAACCAGACCAGCCGTGGGTATAGACGACTCGGAGAAGGAAGCGTCCAACTGTACCCAAGTACTAAGGACAGAATTGATCGTATTCAGCTCCTCCGTTAGGCGGGCAAGTGAAACGGCTGTGCTTTCATGATCGCCCTTCGCTTGTAAAAGGTGCAACGCATCATCCGAGTACAGCAAGGTGTTGGCAAACGTCTTATTCTCAGCACAGTCCACAGAAAACGGTCCAAGATGAAAAGTGCGGTTGTTGTCCGTGACCCAAAGGTGGAGTGCGTTGGGTTCATCCACTTCCAGAAAATGCCTCACTTTCTGAGTGTACAGCATGACCTTCCTTCCCTCAATGGTCGCGGTGATGAGAGCATCAACACGCAAACTTACTTCCGGAAGTTCTGGACCTGATTTGAGCCACACGCCTGGGAGTGTCCCAAAAGCCTCCGTCCACGTTTTCCCCATGTCACGCGACTCAAACACCTTGCGGCCATCCTCGCAATAAGTAACCATGAGAAGTGTTCCCTCCTCCCATTCGGTGACGCGGGGGGAACGGCATGCCACAGAAGAAACGCCCCCTGGTATCTCCCACTTTTGGCCGTCGTCCGTCGAATAAGTGATTAGGGAGAAAACTTTATTACTTTCATCCTTTGCCGTCAGGGGAAACACAAGTGTGCCATTCCCCATCACAATTCCTGAGCCACCACCACCCAAAAATTCCTTTAGGTCACCTTTATTATTAGGAGAGTCAGTTTGGAACAGCGGTTTGGGTTCACTCCAGTTGATCGGTTGAGTCGGCTGAACTTCCGTGGACTGCGTGGCCTCACCCTCAATCACTTTAATGTTCCATGCCTCGGCCTTCCAAATATAATCATCAATTTCACGCCTCTCTTCATAGCTCCCCACTAGCAGAAACACTTTATTGCCCCTTGTAATTCCGGTGGGTAGCCTCGCAACACCCACACGATGATTACTATTATTCGCACTCTCAAGGACAGTGTGTGCCTGCCAGTCATCTTTGGTTACCTCAGCAACAAGAGACTGCCATGTCTCTGGAGCCTTGATGTAACCGGCAACAATATCAGAAGAACTGAGATCAATCACTTCTGGAAAAAGTTTATTTTTGGTGCGGCCTTCGACAAATGCAATCATCACTCCACCAGCACGGACGAGAGCGGGTGAAGCAAAGATATCCTTCACTTTGCCTTCACCACCACTTTTTGGTACCACCTGCGTCTTATTCGGCACAAGCATGGCGATCTCCTGCGGCAGTTGCAAATCCCCTGAGTTTCTCTCCACAGCGTGCGCAGCTCCACTGCCGCCGCAAACCATCACGACGAGGAGTAGAAGCAGCACCGCAGAATAGAAGTGACGCCGGGACATGTTGGGCCTCTGCGGCTCACTCTCTCCTCCTTCCCTCCTTCCGCTGGATCCGGTCACGCGGCGACGGTTGTGTGTGCGGGGTGCCTTCACAGCAGCAACACGTGAGAGCATATAAATATGTGTGTGGGCGGTGTGTGTGCTGTTGTTGGTCCTTTCAGTACCTTCGAATTTCACAATAGCGTTTAGCGTTTGGTAGTAACTTCCTTCTTGAAGGAAAGCAACAAAAAACAGCGGAAAAAAGGCAACACAACAGCAGTACACACCGCCACCACTCAAAGCGAACCACACCATCAGCGTCCCCGCAGCCATTATTCTCCCCAGCACTTCTCAACAGCACACAAAAATTAAGAAAAACAATTGGGCAGCCTCCCAATGGGGACCGCAGGCCATGGCCCTGCAAATAAGCCAAGCGACAGGGAGCCGCGTGTGCAGTGAGAAGCACGAGAGTTGCACTGCAACGACACGGCTGCGTGACAACCCGTTGGGGCATCGATACAGAGCAGCACATCGCCTGCAAGAAGAGTTGCTTCTCCCGCTGAGTAGAGAGGAAAAACGGCCTCAGCAGCCCAATGATGAGAGGTCGCCTGCACCTCCTCGCGGCACATACACGCTCTGCAGACACGCAGATGACGCTCTGCTGCACGCATGACGGCCGTTACACCCTTCACAATGGCAATCGCATCCTGTCGCACCACACATCGCAGCGGGTGCGCACAGTCTCCGTCTCACTCCCTCCTGCCCCTCTCACTGAAAACACATTGGTGGCCGTGGCACACTCACCGACATGTCAGAAAGCAATTGTTTTTCTTCCTCCCTCGCACTTCGAACAGCAGCACCGCCAAACGCATTTCACTCCTTTCGCGGATTCTCCTCAAACACGTTTCCAACCACGTTCATCGGCTCACAGGCACACAGTCCGTAAACGTCACGCTCTGCCGCCCCGCTTGACGGTGCCGCAAACACACCAAAATGGCACCCCGCCACTCGGCGCAAGCAGTGTCTGGACACACAAAACAGGTTGCCCCAGCAAACGACAGTCCCCTCCAAGCAGTGAGACAGGACTCGTCGCTAACAACCAAACAATCAGCCCCTCGTCTCTTCATTCCGCCATGCACGAGGTTCTGCCTGCCACATGCACCATCCGTGACGCCCGGGCTCTGCATGAGGAGCACCACGGCAAGAATGCACAGAAGCTTATATGCAAAACCCCAATTCATTCCACGTCAATAAATGGTGTGGCATAATACATATGTTCCACGACAAGGTTGGCTGGCGCTTCCCCGAGAGGCCTCCCATACACATCGCACGTGATCACAGTAAAGAAAAAGCAACGCCTCCAATCTGGCTGTCACCCTGCGGCAAACATCAAAGCACAATCCAACAAAATGCCGCAAATCATCACATATTTCACACAGACCATCGACAGCTAGCGCGGCAAATGCACAGCACGGAAGAAGAGCCATGCCCACAAACACGCAGCACACAGACAAAGAAAGATAGTTAGGAGAAGCAGCACCCAAAGCCATTCTTTGTGGATGCAAATGATAATAACACCAAACAACGTGAAGCACCAGTCAAGCACCACATATGGGCCACAGACACACCCACCCACCCACCCATTCACTCTTCCTCCTCCCAATGGCGTGGCCCTCCTGCACCTCCACGAACACGTTTGCCGCCCAGTCATGCGAGCTTCTAAGGCAAGCACTCAAGGTGCGTTTCGGCAATCCAACATTCAACACCTATGAAAAACAGTGGAAATGCTCGCAGAGGCCACATGGCTCCTCAACGCACCCTCAAACCCTCCTCACGACTCTTTAATGCGATGGCGAAGAATACAGGCGGCTCTCGTTTCACAGAAGACGGCCAGTTGGAGCGGTGACCACATGCAGAAAATGCCAAGGTGTGAAACAGAAAAGGGAGGAGGTTCGCAGAGGACGTCACCTGCCACGCCTGGTGTCCGCAGTCTCATTCGTGCAACGGAGAACCAATGACACTGTTGCCGCGGTGTCTGCCCGTGCGTGCACCTCACTCTCGGACCAATGAACGCCTCAAGGAACATCCTGCCAAGGAAACGCAGCTGGCCGTGCAGACAATCCCGAGTCTCGTCAACGTTCCAGCGGCCGCTCCTTTGGCGAGGCGTCGCTCTTTTTCTTCCTTGTCTCCCGTGCGCCATCCTCGTATGGAGAGAAAACACCTTCCACAACTGGTGTAATCAATTACCTCCAAGTAAATTGGAAAGGATTCACGGCCTCGAGAAAAAGCATCCAAAGTGGCAGTCAACGTGAGATAAACAATGCGTGTGGCCTTCCGCAGCCGCGTGCATTGCAACTCCCCTCAGCCGCCCATGATGGGCAAGATCAATTGATTCTCAAAATTTGCTAATTGAAACGCCCGGAGATTCGCAATATGTCCCGTAAGGCTCGAATCTTCCCAGGGCTTGGTGACATTTCCCAAAATCAGACGTAAGCATGTCGATGAGTGAGCCGCAGTTAACGTCTCATCCGACATATAATGACCATTAATGAACGTTGTCTGCACCCGGGTGTCGCCACATTGGCGTACCAGGTCCCAGAGACGGGCGCCAATATCACACCACTCAGAAACCGTGTAAGGAACCAATGCCATTTCCTTAAACCAAACTGGCTGTATCTGTAAGCTTAAAATAAAAATAAAAAATTGTCCGGCCGCTATCGGTTCCCTGCCCCTTTAAGGTCATGGCCTTCCCAAAATTCATACGATAGGAAAAGTCTCATAAAGAAGAGCATTAGTTTTATCAGGATACATATACATCAATTAAGTTCTCCAGGTCTCCCGCGATCATTCTCTTCAGAAGCTCCTAAAAAAAGGATGCAGCAACACCGTAAGACCACCAGCCATAATGGTTTTTTCATACCGGGGCAATTCTCCAATTATGCCCCGTATGCACACACAATTAACATGCTACATAAAAATCACCCAATGTTTTCCACCAGAAACCAGGCAACCCCTTTCCCTCCCCAATTTTCTTCTGTCGCTGTTAAGTTCGATAGCGGTGGACATTTTTGAATGTGTGCTGTGCTGCCGCCTGGGGATGGTGCATCCCGCACCGCATGCTCAGACACAAGCATCCAAAAATATATATATCCCACAGTACTTTTTACCAGAAATCAAAACCGCCCCTTTCACACTCCCCAATTTGTTTTCCTATTTCGGTGGTTATTCCTCACTTCGGAGAGCTGTATCTCTTCTAAAGCCTCCGGATGATATTGCTGCTATGTACTGGTGCACCTTTTGCTTCCAGAAAATCGCAATCCCCTTCTTTTCCTTTTTGCTCACATTATCGGAATTGACGACATCACATCTCTGCCAACCACTCATCGGCGCGCTGTCTGCGTGCTGCACATTAATAATCTCCCACGACATGTCTCGGGATAATTCCTCCCAACCATTAAAATATTCCGCCATACGCTCAGTGAACTCATTCACAGTGCTGGGTATGGTGTGGTGAGCATCCGCCGTATTCATCTGCAGTCCAACCAGTGTCTTCCGCGGTGACTCCATGAAGAAAAAGGCGTCCACCAGCGGAAAGTTTGGGAACACTGATTTGTACATCACCCTGTACCTTGCTAAATTCTTCCCAGGATCGCCTTGCTTTGTCGGTAATCCAACAGCTTCAGTAGGGTGCCCTTCAGGGTTCCTTTGCAGCGCCGCTAGCTGGAACACGCGTCCTTCTGGTGGTTTCAACTCCTTTAGTTTTATTATTATTATATTCACAGCACCTCTACACATAAACGTGACCGTGCCTAACATCTCCAAAACGTTAGATAACAAAATGACGTCGGGATGCATGAGTAGCTTAAAAATTTCCCTAGAATGCATTTTCGTCGATAGATGAATATACATTTTGTTGGCAATCACACGGGAGGCTGGAGAATTGAGATATGTTTCATTTATTGAATCCTCTGACACTCGGACAATTTGCACAAGTTTGTGAGACGGATTCACAGCCTCCCATAATTTGTCACTCATCCCGCCAACGTAATGCTTGGCATTGGAACTGTCAACAACATCTATGACTTTGTCGATATCGTTTTTCCGGTTATTAAATTTTTGCGCGTTAAAAATGACGCGAAGAATCGGTCCCACTTCATCCATGCGACCCTTCACCTCCCGCCAGTATTCACCTTGTCTCCTTTGCTCATTGCGCTTCATCCAAACGCATAATGCCCTCACATCGCTCTCATCAGGGCAATTCATTATGATTCGAGTTGGTCCATTTTGTTTCTTCCATCCTTTAAAGTTGTTTTTGTTCGGTGGTGTCACCGCAATCATGCCCCACAGAGTGAAAGGTAAAACAAAATGCGGTTCCCTCCCCTGTTGTGCCAAGTCGTAGATAATATAACCCTTCACACCACGTAGAATAAGATCTTTCAAAAGATCCACGAAAACGGCCTCGCTTCCGAGGTCTGATACCGTTTTTTTTAGTCTTGTCAAACAGGTATATTGAATTCTTAATAACGTACGCAACCAATGGGAGTTTCCTGACATCATAGTGCAGCAGCTGGTAGAGGAGATACGAGCCGGCAGCCAAAGATTTCCCGATCCCGGGCGTCCCAATCAAGGCGTGCGGAATTGGCGTAAAGTGCTCCTCAGGAAGACTGTTGAACCACTTGGTGAGATCGCCCTTGACGACCTGCCACACTCGCTCCACCTCGCAGTTAACATAGCAGTAACGAGTGGATTTAATTTCCTTTCTCCACGAGTACGACCATCCCTTGTCCGAGGTGAGCACCATCAGCCTGAGACGCGGTGCACCGGATTGCTCCACACCGTCATCCTTTTCGAGGGTTCGGCCAACTGCCCTGTACGTCCATGACTGCGGTGGTTTCCCCTCCCTCACTTCCATTCCCGTCCCCTCGCCGCCAGTAACCTCCACGACACGATGCCACCTCGCATTGTACACAGACTCGTAGCATCCCTCCAGGTATATCGGTGCGCTCGACGTCGTTGGATTCCTCGCTTCCTCAAGGGCTGCATCCAAAAACCTTTTATTGATTTCATGAACACTTGCCGTTGCCTCCGCAGCAGCTGCCAGCCGCCTCAGTAGATCGTAAATAGCATTATTTTAAAGCTTGTGTACATCTTCTTCCATATCCATTTCATCCCTTACAGCCCTCTCCATCCTCTTGTAACCATCTGTTGCCTGTATTTCGCCCAATACTCCCGCATCGCAAATATACCTCGTAGGAGGCCTTTACAAACTCCTCCCGCAAGACATCCCGTTTGGCTTCCACAGCGCCCCTGCCGTCCAATTCCATCGTAAGAAA